GTTTTTGGGGGATGTTGCTCCGGTCCGATAACTGGCAACCCACCCAACGTGCACAGTGTGAGGTCTCACAGCAAGCTATCAAATACGGCGCATTTCTCGGCTTTAAAAAAAAAGCTATGCGTCGCCAGGTGTTTCATCGGATTCGAGGTGTTACCTCCTTTGACAGTATCACAGTATCAGCTTAAAGCACTTGTTGCTGCTTAGTTTGCATCTTTTACTGTGAAGTACAGCCAGACTTTTGACCGCTTCGCCTTGGACATTTTTAATCTGTAGCTCTGCATAAAAGAACGTACGTACCTGGCCTCGCCTACTATCCTCGGAAACGTAAAATGATTGGCTAGAAGTGTATCACAGCTCAGGGGAAAAAAAGCACCGAAATAAAGCACCGAAATGTGCGCTGCTTTTCGGTCTGGTTACTACCGTTTATGTCAGAACCGGTGCCATCATGGCACCGGACACCGGTACCCATCCCTAGTCCCAGGTGTTTTCAAATGCAAAAGCTCAAACATGTTATTGCTTTTATACCGGTAATAAAAAGATCCGAACCTGAGACCAGTAAATTATTACTAAAGTACATATGCCCTAGTTTTGGGGGTTTATTGGTTGGAAAAAAAGGCATCACGTTCTCTGAGCAGCTGCAGATCATTCAAACTCAGTGAGTTTCTGATGAAGAGACCACCAGTTTGCACCGACTTGACTGCTGTGGAGTTGACTAGAAATCTTTTTACATTTCTTTCTGATGACAAACAGTATAAGTTGTACTTCTTGGCATAGCTTGGTATTGAGAGGGATCAAAGATTAAGTATAGCTGGAGATTTTTAAATGAACTAACATGCAATCACAGAGTCAATATTTGTTTGTTTGGAACCTCTAAAGTACCGAAGACCACCTGTCTGACTGGAATATGATTCCCAGAGGCCTGGGAGGTCAGGTCACATGGCGGGCCTCAGAGGTTAGTTTGAAGTAAAAAGCAGCAGCACGTGGTGATCGTGTTACAACAGGGACATCTTTGTGATTCACAGATGATCTGTAAAATCATCTGGGAGCACTGAGTGAAAGCTGGGTCTTTTTCAATTAGGCAGAAAATGACCGAGTTTTGGATGATAAACTTTTCTCGTCGTAACTCGTCAGCGGGCAGAAGGCCAGTGTGGTGCTATGTTCAAACAGGAGCGTTACTGTGTCAAACGATATCATCTGGGACACATAAAGGAACATGTTATTATATTTGTGACTTTATTGGACCTAGTAAAAAGCATCATTATTATGTCATTTAAAGCTGTCTCGAACCAAACTGTTTCACAGATTTGTCAGGAGCGTTTCATTCTCCTTATAATACCCAAGGTGCTGCTCAAAATGTCACTCTTCACGCTGTTTTGCCCTTTTATTTACAAAAAAAAAGAAGAAGTAATTTTTTTAATGCAAACAGAAAATGGTTTGGGATGATTTTGCACCTTATAGTGGCATAGACTTCCCCTAATTTCTTGATCCATGGGAGGTTAAAGCTCCAACTGCTCTAACAGGCATCTCGGTGTCAGACAAATTATCTCAGCTTCTGCTTCAGGTCAAACTCCCAAAGCATTTAAATGAGAAAGCACAAGTACTAGCTTATCTGCACAGGCAAATTGTAACTGTGCAGGTAGATGGTTGTCATATCTTGTGTTGTGCTTCATGTGGAGAAAGTCTGAAAATCTAAATTGCCAATTTAATCGGCCTGAATCAAAAGCTCTACATTTTAGGTTCACAGAGGAAAATAATAGACAGACGAATGATTAACATTATCAGTAAAAATCATGTAAAAGTACCTATTGTTTATAGAAATCATTAATTTGTTCTTCACAGTTAAAATTTTTGGGCTAAAGGCTTGTAAATGGAGCACACGTTTATTTACCAAATGAAAACATGATATTATCAAATGCATTAATGACTAAATGAATGCTGAGCTGTAATCCACTTTGATTTGCACTCATACCCACCAGACATTGATTCTCCCAAGGATCTGAGGGCTGTAGATGTGACGCTGGACTCTGCTTCTTTAACTTGGACTCCTCCTCTGGCTGACATTGAGGGTTACATCCTCACCTACAGGGATGAAGAGGGAAACATGGAGGTAAGTCGCCATAATGATTAGCACCGATGTGTTTGCACCATAGAGCACGGTATTCACACTTATAATATTCAAACGCACAATTTCTCAGATATTATGTTGGTTTCACTTCTTGTGTAACTTTAGCAGCAAAAAAAACAAGACCTGAAGGTGAAGCATGAAGGATGATTCCTCTTATTCTGTACTGGTTATAAGCAGAATCTCTGGGCAACATGCTCTCCTAGTTTCAGTCATTTAAATAACATTTGGGAAATTGACTGGGGCTAAAGGTGCATGTTAATCTTAATCTCTGTAGAACACTGACCTCTTGTGGCAATAAACAAAGCAAACCTGGTAGTAATCAGCTTCTTTTGTTGCTGTTTGCTGTCTTTTTAAAATTGAGATCTAAGTAATTAAACCTAACACAATTTACTTTTCTGTTTAGTCCGAAATGTTAAATCCATAATGTGATGCTATTATATTCAGTGTTCTGTTATATGTTTTCATCAGACTGTTGAAAAGCAGCTTGTAGCCGGTGAGAGCAGCTTTGCTGCATCGAGTCTTGAGATGGGGAAGAGGTACATTGTCACTATTATTGCCTACAGGGGCAACAAGAGGAGCAAGGTGGTAGAAACCATCTTCAAAACAGGTTTGTGCCACGTCACTTAACATCTCGTACTGTGTTAAAAATCATCGGTATGAAAAAAACTCTAATAATCTTCTCACAACATCCCCGTCACCAGTTGGTCTCCTGCACCCATTCCCCATGGACTGTGTTCAGATCATGAAGAACGGCAATAAGAGGAATGGTGTCTATACAGTCTATATTAACAATGACCGCTCCAAACCTATAGAAGCTTACTGCGACATGGACACTGATGGAGGCGGCTGGCTGGTAGGAATTTTTGATATGATATCAATAAAGAAGCTCACGGTGTGGAACTTTTGTCTAACAATGAGAGTGACTACATGAACACTGGCATGTGCGTGTCACTTATTTGCTCCTGGGTTGTATTATGGGAAGTGGATTCATTTCTTTTGGAGTCTGAATGGGCCATGGGACTAAAATGGTCTCACCTGATTCAGTTTAGATTTTTAGCTCCATGCCTGCTTGAAGCTGCAACGCTAAATCAAAGGAATCCCTAATAAAGGCTGATCAGTTTATTGGCTGGTCAATGCTGGCAACCTGTATTAGTCTCGCTTTGAATAACAAAGAAACAGTGGTGAACAAACTGACCCAATGCTGGTTATGTGTATAAAAATTTATTAGACTCCAAGACGTATTTTCTGCATCAAATCTGGAAATCCAGTATCGATTGGGCTCAACTCCCTAATGATAGCACTAAATAGTTAGAACAAACCATTTGAAATGTTTGTGTAACACTTTGAGTGCTTTCCACTTTTAGGTGCTTCAGCGCCGTAACATTGGCAAGCTGGACTTTATGAAACGCTGGAGGCAGTACATTGCAGGTTTTGGCAACTTAACCGAGGAGTTTTGGATTGGTGAGCACTTCAGTGTTTTGGGAAAGAGGGCTTTTCTGCAGACAGGCATAAACATGCACATTTGAGCATTAGAGGAATGTCTAGTGTGTTCTTGAAATTCTCTGCTTGTGTTTTCCCTCAGGTCTCGATAAAATATACGAGCTTACCAACACTCCTACTCAGTATGAGCTGAGGTTTGATTTGGGTGTGGGCTCAGAGAGAGCGTATGCTGTATACGACAACTTTAAGATTGCACCAGTCAAGCAGAAGTTCAAGCTCACCATTGGCAAATACAGTGGGACAGCAGGTGACTCTTCCTCCTTAACTATAGGCAACATAAAAGGCTGAGGCTGTGCAGACAAATCAAACAGCCTTCAAGAATTATATTCTCTGTGGCACTTAAATGGAATGAGTTATAGCCAAAAGGGGATGGCGAAAATAGCAATGAAACAGACAGGGTCAGAAAATAGAAGGGTTTCAAGCGGGAGGCACCCCACCGGTCATGCTGTAGGATGCTGAGAAAGAAATGTACCCAACAGTAGGTGGGATATTTGTCTCAGAAACTTACATTCAGTCACTTATAGACAGTATCTATATAGGGATGAAAGCAAGGCTTAAGTGGGCTTTGAAGCCAGACAGACACAGACACACACAGCGAGAGCTATGCTGTGTCTACATATAACTCAGTGTGCTGAAACAACATGTGCTACAGAACTGAATCACCCTGAGTTTGGCATTATACTCAATTTCTTCCATCTTACGGTAATAACGGTGCAATCCTAATTTTCTCGATGATCCCCAGGTGATGCCATGACCTACCACCAAGGCCTCCCCTGGACTACCATTGATTCAGATAATGACATTGCCCTGACCAACTGTGCTCTGAGTCACCGTGGCGCCTGGTGGTACAAAAACTGCCACCTGGCCAACCTTAACGGCAAATGGGGTGAAACCAGGCACAGCATGGTAAGTGAATGAGACTGTAGCACCGCAGCAGCAGCAAACTCTGGTTTATTGGACTCAGTGTTGATTTTCTAGTTTTCTGGATAGCATACACAAAAACACACACACGCATATTTAAATCAACAGTATTGTGCAAATGTCTTGAGACTCATTTCTTTATATTTCTTTAATGAAAATGGGAAATATGTGCAGTGATTTATTGAAATGTGCAAACATTCATACATGCAGAAACAGCTAGTGCATTGCGAATGAGCTTGAAAATCAATATTTGATCTGAACACCTTTATTCAAGAAATCGTTTTTATCATTTCTTTAAGTAGCCTTCAGAAATAGTTTTCTGGGTGTTTTTGAAGATCATTCAACGCTCTTCTCTGGATGTTTCTTCCTTTTGTTCCATTCTATGTCAAGATGATCCAACACTGCTTCAGTAATGTTGATGTTCGGGCCAGATTCATCTCTCAGGGCCTGCATATATTCTTTGTTGGACTCATATTTCTTAAGGTCATGATTGAAGATACTGCTCATCTGCTGTACAAAATCTAGCACCTTTATCTTTTGTGCTCCATTTGTCCAGATGGGCAACATAAAATCTAAGCTCTGCATTAAGTCACACTTTTACTGTATGATCGTTATACCATACCGCTTCACCAGTTGGTGGAATCATAATAGACTTGTATTAACACTGTAATTACCCTAAGACCGTGACCAGTTAACAACATGGGTTTTCTGGACAAGTCCCATCAGTCCATCTCTACCATTACATTTTTATGTTTATGGCAAACATTACTGAAAGCTTGCCTCCTAAACAGTTTAGGAGTTTTACTATACTGAAGAAAACTTTTGGATTTCAAAAATCTTTTTTACTCTTTTTATTTATCAGTCCTCTTCAGTCTGAAAATATGTAATTTCATAGTTACTGTCCAGCTGTGACCCGCGATGCAGAGCAGGTTATCCATAAATCTGTATTAGTGGGCACTGTGCGAATAGGTGAATGCAGCTTGTGGTGTAAAAGTACTTTGAGCAGCCAAAACTATTGGAAAAGAGCTCTTTGAATGCAATCCATTTTCGATTTCCATTTTGAAGATCAGATGCATTTTTAGTTGCCTTGCTAACCATTTTTCACAGTATATATTACAACATTGTCTGTTAGGATTTAAAACAACACACAAGTACCGCAACTAACTGCTGTGAAGGAAAAACACATCCCTGTTATTTAGGATCTTTACTAAGCATCTTATATGAAAACAACAAGAACAAAAAGAAGCTTAAAAAAAAGCTTTCTGGGAGGCTGCTCCCTGGTCAGCAATCAAAGACAACTTCACCCCAGCCCACTTCTACTTGTTTTGTTTTGGATTGTTGAGGTGAAGCAGAAATGGCCAACATCCATCAGAAGTGATAAGAAAACACATTTCTCACACCAGCTATAAACCATAAGTGTTTTTACCAGGCTGCTCGGGTAACAACAACAGTTATTATGTCTAAAGAAGACTGATACCGAAGGAAATGCCAGGGGATTTCTCTGCTCTTGTCGAGATTTCATCCATAATATTGCCGTTGCAGATGTCTCCTGCAATGTTTGTCGGCAAAATGCAATAACAGTCAAAACAAGTTTGTACTCACATGAAATGAAGCAGCGGTAGGTATTTATTACTGCATGTCATTCCGCCTGCCTGTCATGCCACTTGCCTCTTTCGCGACTCGATCTCTCCGCTCGCTGTCTCCCCCTTTCATTACGACTCTCCTGTCTAAACATACGACATTTTTCCTCTTCCCTACTTTGCCCCAATCAGCTTCTCTCTCAATCTGCTGTTTTTGCTGTCAGGGGGTGAACTGGGAACCGTGGAAGGGCCACCTGACATCCCTCGACTTCTCTGAGATGAAGATCCGACCTGTGGGAGCCCTGTCCAGCAGGAAGAGGCGATCGCTGGCGGCTAGGGAGAAAAGCAGAAACACAAAACTCCAAAAGAAATAGAAGAGCGCCTGTGTCCACATCAGCCCCATCAGCCTGACATCACACAAGCTTTTGGTGTTTCTGTACATATGTACACATGCATGTTTTAATACTCTAGACTAGAATACCTACTGGTCTCCCTCTCTGTGTGTCTCAATTCTTGGACAATATGTACACCTTTTAGAAAAACGAATACCTTAATATCTGTTCATAGAAATTCAAAGATTTACTGTGACTGCAAGAAAGTGACAAATGACAAACGTCCTTTGACTTTTTTTGACATTAATTGGTTTTGTTTATCACTCAAACTTGAACCTGTTTATATTGCTTGTGTTATATTTGCTTATTTCACATCCTCCAAAGAAATTGAGTGCATGGTAGAAAACAAAAATAGCTTGTCTGTTGTTGGGTTTTTTCGTGGATCAGGTGTAGACTATTAGAGTTAGCACCCTGTTTATTGATTGTGAAGCCAGCTGGCTTCGTCGCATTAAACTGCCACTGTGCTTCTAACACTGTCACATCACATCAGTTTGTGTGGGACAAGGCCGTCAGTAACAACGGATGGCTGTCTAGAGACGCCAAAGTGCTCCTGCTTTACATTCAGATGACCGAGACAGCTAATATCCATCAATGTGACGTGCCTTTATCAAATGTCAATAGGAATGAAGTTTGTTTGCCCCATCCTCGGGAGCATAATGACCATACTCTAGTTTTTCAATCTGGAAAGCTGACAGAAGTTATTAATACGTTTTTGACTTTGACTTTACTTGATTACTTTTTTCTTCTTTTTTTACACATTTATATTACAAACTTGGTTTAGGTGACAAGGACTGAGCACATCAATCAACTTTTCTCCTAATCTGCCAGAAGTTATTTGATTTGCAGTCAGTGACTCTCACACATTACTTTCCCCTAAAAGTTATTGTGATTTTATTTTAACTTCCAGCTAATCCTTAGGATCAGCTTTGAAGGTCAGAAATGAGGAAGTAAAAACCTGTTTATCCATATTTTATTTACTAATTGTATTCTCAAGCTGACATTATAGCTGCTCATTCATATTAATGCAATCATTCAGGGAATAAAACTAAAACATTTTTTATATGTGAAAAGCTTGTTTGTTTTTCTCATCTCAATATAGCGATGGCCTTATGGGATATAGGAAAGCAAGTAGTACTAAACCTTTTTTTGCTTTGCAGATTTTAATGAGTTGCTTTGAAAACTGAATATGTTACCGTGGAAAAGCCAGACAAAATGTTATAGTTATTCAGTATATTTGGGTGTTTCACTGCTGTAAGAAGATACATAGCAACCCCCCAAAAATCTGCAGCCACACTAGAAGCTACATTAAGTTTTATGCAGACATATTGAAGCAGTAAATGCTGATGCATGCTTCTTTAACTTTGTCTTATAGATTTGTCTACGTATATATGCATAGTAATGGACTTATTAGTTCTTTTCATTTTTATTTAATTATATTTTTGCCTGTTCATTGGACCTGAAGTGCTCCATTAAAGGACTTTCTGGAGACAAATCTTGTCTTCGGCTAATTTGTATTTTTTACAATAAATTATTCATGTTAATTTGGGGAAATACAGGCACCGAGCAACTGACTAGGTACACCCATTCAACTGTTTTTTAATATCTAATGAGCTAATCACACAGCCATTCAATGCATTTAACATGTTAATTCTGAAGTCGAGCATAAGAATAAGGAAGAAACGGTTGATGTAGGTGACTCTGACCGTGGCATGGTTGTTGGTCCAAGATGAGCTGGTCTAAGTGTTCAGAAACTGCTAACCTAATGGGAGTTTCCCACACAACCACCTCTGGGGTTTATATGGAATGGTCTGAAAAAGCTTCACAGCATACCCATCTTCTGATAGTTCCTTTCAGCAGAGAAGCACACAATGTCACAAAGCTCAAATAACCTCAAACTGTTTTCTTGAATGTGAGAATTAGTTCACTTTACTCAAACGGCCTCCACAGTCAACAGATCTCAGTCTGACTGAGCACCTTTGGGAAGTTGTGGAGCAGAAGATTCACATCATGGATGTGCAACCAACAAATCTGCAGCAAATGTGTGATGCATGTCATGTCAATATGGACCAAAATCTCTGAAAATTGCTTCCACCACCTTGAATCTGTGCCATGAAGAATTAGGACAGTTCTGAAAGCAATAGGAAGGCCAACCCTGCAGAGAATGGATGGATGGATGTTCAGTGCTTATCACTCACCTGTTTTCCTTGTATTGATGCTTAATTTTATCAATAAGACATAAATAAAACCTCTCAGTCAGACATGAATTTGCTACGGCGTGACTCTGACCTGTGAAACTCAGCTGTTCTTTCTTTGGTACCACACCACGCTTTCATCATACTGAGTTGAGCAACTACATTTGCAGGAACTGATGATTGTTTGCTGTCTGGTCTCAGAGCAGTTTCCCAATTCTCTATCTCATAATCTGCAGACAGAAGCAGCCACTGGCTCTCTGCGCAGGAGCTGTTTTTATCAAGCTGCTGAGGGTGTACGGAAAGGATATAAAAAGGTCATCACGCCATTTAAACACAAAAAGATACCGAAATAAGATATAATCTGTTCAAACAACAATGGAACACTTTTGGAATGAGTAAGTGAAAAATGTCTTGGGGTTTTTTCCCCCAAGTGTTTATTCATCAAAACCAAATAAGAGTTTGAGAAGGCTGCTGACAAAAATTTTGCCAGCAAATATTTCTAGAATAGCAATTCATATCAACTTTGAAATGAAAGGTCTCACAAAAGCTCATTGATGCGAGAGGCCTTTTCAGGCACAGTGATTGCAAATTACTTTAAGGAGATTGGTTCCTGCCATTGCTTTACGGGGCAAGTGGTTTGCTCAGTGCCAGGATAAACAGAGAGGAGAGAAAACACACTTTGCCCTGTTTGTCTCTCTCTTTCTGCCTCTCCCTTCTACGTTTGTGCATATATATAGTACAGTATAAGGTTGCTGACATACACATTTGTCTGAATTTTGACACTTATGCCTTGGGTTCAGTGTGATGTATTTTTTCCATGAGAGAACCTGGTACCGTGGTAACAAGTGGGTGTTTGTTTAAAGGGGTGGAGTGTGAGCAGTTCATGGAAAGAGAGAGAAACTGCAAAACAGAAGACATTTGAAATTCAAGATAGCCACTGTCACACAGCACACGGGAACACTAACAATTTCCACTGACTCATTTCTGCAACACTGTGGATTCTTTCTTTCTTTCTTTCTTTCTTTCTTTCTTTCTTTCTTTCTTTCTTTCTTTCTTTCTTTCTTTCTTTCTTTCTTTCTTTCTTTCTTTCTTTC